TGGGCATCTCTCTTCTTTATCTTCTCTTTTCCCTATATCTATGTTTTCTTTTCTCGTAGGAAACCAAGCCTGTTGGACTGAAGACCCTCAGCGATCTAGTATGCCTTCATCCTAGTGAATAGCAAAGCATGTTATTTCCAAAAGAAAGAGGGGTCACATTCATAGGATATGACATTTGGAGCCATACTAGTCACCCCATTGTAACCACCAAGCAGTGCCGTTTGTACCAGATCAAAAATGGTATGGTTAGGAGGGCTAAGGGTATCAAAGTCCTGAGTTCAGACCCTACACTGACCCTTTACATATCTTTGCATACAATGTATATAGTTAGAATATGTATCAAGCTGACAGACTAATAATACACAAACTTCAGGCAGGGATGTCTTCGTTGTGTTTTTTTTAATAGGGTCTCATATATCCCAGGCTTTCCTGAACTTGCCATGCAACCAACTAGCCTTAAATTTTTTATCTTTCTATCCCCACCTCCTAAATTCTTAGCCCACAGGTCTGCACCACCCTGGGTCACATCTTTTGATCTTTTGATGTGAAAAAAAAAATTATTTTATATCCAATCTATTTTTCAGAAAAAAAAAAAAGAACAGCACCTTCTTTTTTTATTTGTTTTTTGAGATAGAGTTTCTCTGTGTAGCTTTGGTGCTTGTCCTGGAACTAGCTCTTGTAGATCACAGAGATCTGCCTGCCTCTGTCTCCTGAGTGCTGGGATTAAAGGCATGTGCCACCACTGCCCAGCAAGAACAGCCCTTTCAAAATGAAATTGAGACCAGGTGTTGTGGTTCACACCTTTTAATCCAAGAATGAGGCAGAAGCAGGAAGATCTCTGTGAGTTCAAGGTCAGCCTAGTCCATACAGTGAGTTTCAGAAAAGTCAGAGCTACATAGTAAGACACTGTCTTAGAAACAACAACAACAACACAAAAAGGAAAAAAATAATAACAAAAGAAATAAAGTTGATATTTGGCAGTTCTATGGTTAGTCTGATCTATGTAGAGACAGACTTAAATAAAACAAAACAAAATAAAAAACAAACTGGGGATGTAGGGCAGAGTGCTCACTTAAAGTACAGGAGATCCGAGCTTTGATTTCCCGCACCAAATAAATAAGTTTTAAAAAAGTCTGCTGGAGCCTGTTTTATGAGACTGTCTGCTTTAGGAGTCAGACAAAGCTTGGTCTTACCACTTCTGTGCTGTGCTTTCACACAGGAGTTAGTTTTGTTACAAAGTCTATATATACATATAGAGTTATATATGGTTATATAGTTACAAATGATATAAAATAGGGGCTGAAGAGATGGTTAGGTGTTGAAAAATGCTGCTCTACAGAGGACTTGAGTTTGATTCTCAGGACCTTCTGTGACTACGGCTCCAGGACACTGATTCCTCTGACCTCCCAGGGCACCTGTCCTTACTGCACATATCTTTACGCAAACACTCACGCCTTTGCATGATTTGTTGTTTCTTCTTTGTTTTGTTTTGTTTTGTTTTGTTTTTGAAGTAGGGTTTCTCTGTGTATAACCTTGGCTATCCTGGAACTTGCTCTGTAGACCAGGCTGACCTTAAACTCAGAAATCCACCTGCCTCTGCCTCCCAAATGCTAGAATTAAAGGCATGAGTCATCACTGCCCAGCTAACACATAATTTAAAGTAACAAAATTAAATCTTAAGAAAATAACAACTAAATTTTTTGCAGACAAAAGCAGACCTCACAACCTCCTAGATTAGTGGCTGGATTCCTAAGGCTGGTGCATTTATGTCCCAGGCTGCTCTTCCAGCTATTCAAGCCAGCTTTGAGCTCCTCTTCCCTTGTTCTAATGGCTTTTAGCTCCAATCTGCTAAACCATTTCAGGAGCCACCAGGCTTCTCCTTATCATCCTCTAGCTCCTTTCCCTGGCCAATTCGTTTTACTTCTGCTGTTACTTAAGAAAATGTCCATCCTTGGGCTGGAGAGATAGCTCAGAGGTTAAGAGCACTGACTGCTCTTCCTGAGGTCCTGAGTTCAATTCCCAGCAATCACATGGTGGCTCACAACCATCTATAATGAGATCTGGTGCCCTCTTCTGGTGTGCAAACATACAGACAGACAGAACACTGTATACATAATAAATAAATAAATCTAAAAATAAAAAGAAAGAAAATGTCCATCCTTCACCTATTGTCTCTGTGAGGCTGGTCCCATTCCCCTCTGGATGGGTGTAGAGCAAGGCTTCCTGGACTTTGTCCACTCTAAAACTTTTTTTTTTTCCTTAAGAAAATGTGTATCTCTGGCTAGCCTGAAAGTCGCTCTACAGACCAGACTGGACTAGAACTCACAGAGACCCACCTGCCTCTGCCTCTCTTAGCCTCCTCTGGTTGCATTTTGAAGCAGGTGTTTCATTGTCCCAAGCTTCAACCTTACTATATAGGCAAGGCTGGCCTTGAACTCCTGGCCCTCTTGCTTCTACTTTCCCAGGGCTGGGATGGCAGGCCTGTGCCACTCTCTAGACTACTACCTCAGACTGCAATCTTTAAAGTCAAATATTCTAACAGTGCAATCCAGCGATATACAAGCTGATACTCATATGCTGAGGAATAAAGGTAGGAAGACAGTAAGTTAAACATCTTTCTTCCTGTAAGTAAACCATTTTTTACAAGGTCAGAAAACGTTCTTCCGTAAAAATACTGCCATTTATACATACTATAGACTCCAGCCTGAGTTATTTCAGTCAGTTTCCAATGGTGTGGCATTGTAGTCCCAAGTATGGATGTCCTGTGTTCAAAAGCCAGGCTGCAGAGAAACTGGCAGATATGGAGTGGTCAGAAATTACTAGGGCTTAGAGGGATGGCTCAACAGTTAAAAGTACTTGCTGTCCTTCCAAAGAACTGAAGTTCAGCTCCCAATACCCACACTAGGAAGCCCACAACTGCTCATCAAAGGATCCAACACCTTCTTTGGACCTCTGAAGATACTGACACACTTGTGTGTGTACATACATATAAAATACATATATACAAATAAAATATTTTTAAAAGAAATACCTTGGATTCACTGCCCTTTGATATCTTTTAGTATTCTTTCTTAATTTAAATTTTTTGTGAGAGTTAAGTTTTGCCTGCATAAGCCAAAAGAGGCCATCAGATCTTCTGTAACCGGAGTTACAGATGGTTGTGAGCTGCCATGTGGGTGCTGGAAATTAAACCTAGGTTGTCTGGAAGAGCAGTCAGTGCTCTTAACTGCTTTGCCATCTCTCTATCCACTGCCCTTTGATGTTTTATTTATTTTTTTTTGAGACAGGCTCTAGCAGTCCTGACTGTCCTGGAAGTCACCGAGTAGACCAGGATGGCCTTGAACTCACAGAGATCCACATTCCTCTGCCTCCTGAGTGCTAGATTCAGGGTGTGCATCTCTACTCCGGGCCGTGTTTTTTGGTTTGATTGTTTGTTTGTTTTAAATAAGAGCAGAGTGAACTGATCTTGGTTCTTATTTAAGATTGAAATTATTATTTTGATGTGTGTGAGTGTTTTGCCAGCATATATACGTGTGCACTGTGTGGCACCTGAGGATATCAGAAGAGGGCATAAAATCCCTTGGAATGGTTGTGAGTGAGCTGCCATGTGGGTGCCCGGAAATGATCCCAGGTCCTCTGGAAGAGCAGTCAGTGCTATTAACCACTAAACCAACCATACAGCCTCCCGTTCTTTTATTTTCGGTTGATTTTGGTTGCATGATCCCCTGGGGGGGGTCATAATCCACAGTTTAAGAAACTGGGGTTTGGCTAGATGGTGATGGTGCACACCTTTAATCCCAGTACTCAAGAGGTAGAGGCAGGGGGTTCTCCATGAGCTGGGAGTCTGAGGACAGTGGTATGGCCCAGTGGGTAAAGGAACTGGCAACCAAACCTGGTGACATGTAAACAAGTCATCATTGTCTCAGTGAGCCGCATTCTGAGAATGCGAACCTGGTGTCACAAACTTTCAGAAGCCTGTTGCAAGCAGATAGACTCTCCCAAACCATGATGCCACACACCTGCAATTTCAGCTCTCATGAGGCGTTCTGATTTCTAGGCCAGCCTGGGTTACACAGGAAGTATGAGGACAGACTAGGAATACAGAACATGAGTTTATTAAAAAAATAAATAAATAAAGACAAGCCAGGCCTGCCTGGGTGGTGCACATCTTTAATCTCACAGTAAAGGGGGCAAAAGTCAGGGGATCTAGGTGAATCTGAGGATCAAAAGCTGGGCACACTTGCACACACCTATAATCTAGCACTTTAGAGCTGGGGGAAAGAGTTTAGAAGTTCAAGGCTATCCTCAACTACCTAACAAGTTGGAGGCCTGTGCTGTATTAGACTCTGTCAAAATTTAGACAAAGAGAGAAGAAAGAAGGAGAAAAAAAAAGTTTTATTTTATGTTATAGATTTTGCCTACACATATATCTGGGCATGGGATCCCCTGGAACTGGAGTTAGAGACGCATGTGGTTGCTGGAAACTCAACCAATCCTCTGCAAGAACAGCTGAACTGCTGAACCATCTGTCCAGCCCCAGGTAGGTTTGTTTGTTTTAAAGAGAGAGAAATAGGGCTGGAGAGCGCTCCAAGGGGATTAGTCACTGTTGGCCTATATGAACACCTGTATACACACACACACACACACACACACACACCACACCACACACCACACACACACACACATATATATAAATTAAAAAATAATAAAGACCTATTTTTAGGGAAGGGACATCAAAATAGTTGTTCATGGGCCAATAAAATGGTTCAGTGAGTAAGGATGCTTGCCTTCAAACCTGATGACCTGTTTAAAAAACTGTCATACAGTCGGGAGATGGCGACCCACACCTTTAATCCCAGCACTCGGGAGGCAGAGGCAGGTGGATCTCTGTGACTTCAAATCCAGCCTGGTCTACAAGAGCTAGTTCCAGGACAGACTCCAAAGTGAAACCTGTCTTGAAAAACCAAAAATAAATAAATAAATAATTGTAAAAAGCTGTCATTCCTATTTGACAGCAAAGGTATATGATCACAAATTGGTTTCCCTGAGGAAGGCTCATCCATATCACTAGAGATCTGTTGAATCCTGGGATTTCCCCAAATTCAGGAAACTCAACTGCATTATTTGTAATAATGGGGACTATGTTCAAGCTTTTCCGTTTACACAGAAATAAAAAAAGTTGTTCTCAGTCTTCAGATATCTCCTTAGAAATGTCTCCTTAGAAACACCTTCTAAGCCAAGAAAATGTTAAAGGAAAAGGGTTACCAAAAAAGGCATATATGTCAGGCAGTGGTGGCGCACACCTGCAATCCCAGCACTCGGGAGGCAGAGGCAGGGGGATCTCTGAGGGTTTGAGGCCAGCCTGATCTACAGAGCTAGTTCTAGGACAGGCTCTAAAGTTACACAGAAAAACCCTGTCTCGAAAAAAGAAACAAACAAACAAACAAAAACATATAAAATGTTTACATAAACCATTTGTAAAATTGAATGACTATCATTATCATGCATATAATATTTATACAGTAACAATGTTTATAAAGAAGTAAACAGTGAGGATGGGGTCAAAGTCCAGGAGGTACGGCGCTTGCTTGGCATTCACGAAGCCCTGGATTCTACACCACAGGCCGAAAGACAGGTGTGGAAGAAGAAGAGCAGAAGTTCAAGATCATCTTCGGCTACAAAGTGAAACCCTGTCTCAAAAAGGAAAGAAGGTGGGAGGGGACTATGACAATGAGCTGGGCCTAGAAAGGAAGAAGGCTGAGAGTTCCAGGCCAGCCTTGCCAGCAGTTTGAGGCCTTATCTTAAAACAATCGAAGCCTGAAAGATGGCTCAGTGGGTAAAAGGGCTTGCTGCTAGGCCTGATGACCTGAGTTTGATCCCCAGGACTCACATGGGTAAAGGAGAAAACCGACTCCCACAAGTTATACTCTGATCTCCACACACATAGACACAAAATAAAAATATAAATGTAAGATAGGTAGTAGTGGCTCGGGAGCAGAGACAAGCAGATCTCTGTGAGTTCAAGTTCAGACTGGTCTACAGAGTGAGTTCCAGGATGGCTAAGGCCACACACAGAAACCCTACCTTGAAAAAAACAAAATATAAATAAATGAATAAATAAGTAAATGTAAAAAAAAAAAAAAGCAAAAACAAGCTAGCTAAGTGTGGTGGGGTTTGGTGATACTTACCTATAATCCCAGCACTTGCCAGTTGATGTCAGAGAATTAAGAGTTCGAACCTCTTCTAGTCCATTTTCTGCTGCTGTTACGCAACACTGACCAAAGCACTCAGGAAGGAAAGGGTTAATTTGGCTTATCCTTCCAGGTCCCAATCCATCCTTGAGGGAAGTCAAAGAAGGAACTGAAGCAGGAACTGAAGCATACACCATGGAGGAAGGTTGCTGACTGGCTCTCTCATTGCTTTCTCTCTTACACCTGTATAGCGATGGCGTCGCCTATATGGGCTATGCACCCCCTACCCCAAGCAATCATCAGTTAAAGATAATAACTCACAGACATTGCCACAGAAAAATCTGATCTAGGCAATTCTTCATTTGACTGTATGTTGTCTCAAGTGGAGAAGAAAAAAGAAATAACACAAGCCAGGCACAGTAGCACATGCCTTGAATTCCAGCACTAGGGAGGCAAATGTAGTTGAATCTCTGTGAGATAGAGGCCAGCTTGGTCTACACAGTGAGTTCCCGGACAGCCAGGACTATGTAAGAAGATCCTGTCTCCAAAAACAAAAACAAACAAACAACAACATAAAGAACCTAGTTAGCATCAGGCCAACCTGACCTACAACAGACCTTGTCACAAAGAGAAAAAACTGATAATTACGTCTGAGTGGGGGGACTCTCAATGACCTTGGCTTCCTATGCACTGAGCACTTTCTTTTTGTTTGTGTCATTTCTTTTCTCTTAAGACAGGTATTGAAATATAACTCAGCACTCCGGAGAGGCAGGCACATCTCTGTGAATTCACGGCTAACCAGTTCCAGTCTAGCCATGATAAGTAATGAGACCCTGTCTCTAAATATATAAATAGTTAAATAAATAATAAAAAAAGATAGTCCAGGCTGGCCCTGAACTTGCAATCCTCCTGCCTCATCCTTCTGAATTGCTGGGATTACAAGTGTGAGCCACCAAGCCTGGTTTCTTTTCATTTTATTTTATTTATTCATGTAAGTTCTGTGTATGTATGTGTAGTTATGTGCACATGCCATCTACAGGTGCCCAAGACCATAAGTATTATTGGATCCTTTGGAGCTGCAGTTACAGGCAGCTGTTAGCCACCAGATGCCAGCTGTGGGTTCCGAGAACCAAAGTCAGGTCTTCTACAAGTGTAGGGAACCACCTCTCCAGGCCCCTGATCTCTTTTTAATTTTTAGAATGATTTTAGTTTTGCAAAACAATCATGGTTCTTAAAAAAACAAAACAAAACAAAACAAAAACATGCTTGTTTGCTTTTCTCTCCATAGGATGCCCCGCTCACTGAATTTACATCCATGCTGATGTTTTCCTCTTCCTTGCAGCAGGTCTTTGGTGACAATATTAAAACTGTGTCCACTGTCCAGCCAGGGCTCATAAGCCACCATTCTATCACGATTCATGCTGCTGCAGTTTCCAAGTTCTGTTTCTCTCAGGGACAACTGCCAGTGAATGTGAGAAATGGCTGGCATTGTTGTGAATTTCCTCCAGCCTCAAGTCACATGTTCATCTTCACACCGGGGGGCGCTGCCCCTGACACCTGTCAAAGGATGGGTTCATTCCCCACAAATCTGTTTCCTCTCCAAGTCTCCAAGTCCCGCCTGTGTGTTTCAGCTGGCACTGGTCACAGTGGGCACTCAAGAAGTGGTTGTCAGTCTGCATTCCAAACATCAATACTCTACCAGATCCAGCAAGGAGTAAAGGACAGGGGAGGACAGAGGGAAACTTCAGTGCTTTGAGTGCAGCAGCTTTTGTTGCCTTTGTGCTGTTTTGATAAGGGTGTCTGGCTAGCCTGGAACTTACTATGTAGAACTTACTAGGAATTCATAGAGATCTTCCTGCCTCTGTCTCCCAAGGACTGGGATTATGGGAGTGCAGTACCACAGTTGGCTTTGTAGATTTTGTTTTGTTTTGCTTTGCTTTTTTTGAGTCAGAGTCTCACTATGTAGCCTTAGCTGGCCTGGAACTCACTATGTAGACCAGGCTGGCTTCAAAAATGCAGAGATCTGCTTGTCTTTGCCTCTCAAATGCTGGAATTAAAGGTGTGGGCTATCATCCCCAGCTTTTAAATTAAAAAAAAAATTATAGTATTTGGATGTGGGTATATGTGAACCCAGGTGCTGGCAGAGGCCAGGGGTGTTGGGTTCCCTGGAACTTGAGACACAGGTAGTTGTGAGCTGCCCCGTGTTGGCCCTGGGGTTAATTCAGGGCCCTTTGTAAAAGCAGTGCATGCTGTAATTTGTTTTGTTTTGTAAGACAGGGCCTTGGTCTGTAGCCCAGGTTAGCCTCCAACTCAAAGTAATGCAGGGTGTATAGGTGTGTACCACCACACTCCATTCTGCCAGGTGTTTGTCTGTTGAGACAGGGTCTCACAACCTAGCCTTGGCTAGCCTAGACCTCCCTATGTAGTTACCGGGCTATCCTCAAACTGATGACAATTCTCTTGCCCCTGCCTTCTGTGGATGAGGATGAGGTTCTGTCAGGTTAGGTTTGTATTTGTTTAGTTTCTTCTGTTGTTGGTCTTTGTTTTTATTCTGTTTGCTTTTTGAGACATTCTCATCTTATAGCCTAGGTGGGCATGGAACTTGTGACTGTCCTGCCTCAGCCTCCAAGTGCTGGGGTTACAGAAATAAAACCACAAGGCTAACTGTGTGTCATGTTTTATTATTACTTCTACTTTTATTTTTGGTGCTATGTAGAACACCCCCAGCCTCAGTTCCCTCTCAAAATTAGCAAAGACAGCCGGCGAGGCCTCAATAGGAATTTCAGCAGTAGAGGTATTTGGATTGCTTGCTTTTGTTCCCTGCTGTCAGGGTCTCCTCGTGATAACTGTCCCTTTATGACTTCATTCCCTGTCTCTGCTTCCATTTGCTACTTTGTGATTTCATCAAAGGCATAGTTTAGCTCATGCTGGTCAGAGGGCCAGGAGCCTGCTTTGCGCAGACTCAGCTTTGGAGACCGGTCTAGAACTGAGCTCTCTGCACCTTGTCCTCGGACGCAAAGCGGCGGTTTCTTTCCAGTTGGCTTCTGCCTGCAACAGGTGATGTGCGTTTGGCTTCTGGAGCAGCTTCAAAGACAGAGGCCAAGGGTGTACCTACTGCTATTCCTAGAGTGCCTGTAATGCTTAGCGTCTAACCCATGGCGGTCTCCCCACCATCCCAGGCCAAGCCAAGCGAAGTCTCATCAACCCTCCAACTGCCTCAGAGGCTGGCGCCAAGCCTGGAGAAAAAAACCGAGTCTCTAGGAGAGGAACGGTCATGCCTACTGAGGGCCACAGCTGCAGCTCAGACCCTGGCCAGTATCGTCCGGCCTTGTTATGGCCCCTATGGCCGGCAGAAGTTCCTGGTGACCGCTAAGGGAGAAACAGTTTGTACAGGTCATGCCGCTGCCATCCTGAGAGCGCTGGAGCTGGAGCACCCAGCTGCCCAGTTTGTCCGAGAAATAGCCCAAATACAGGCAGAGAACACTGGGGACGGCACAACCTTTGTAGTTCTCCTGACCGAAGCCTTACTGGAGCAGTCCCAGTACCTTTTGTGGGCTGGCTTAGCTCGAAACCAGCTCCGGGAGAGCTTGGCCACGGCCACAGCGGAAGTCCTGACAGCTCTGCCTTCCCTGGCCATTCGCTCTCTAGGGCCTTTGGAAGACCCATCATGGGCCCTCTATTCTGTGATGAACACCCACACCCTGCCCGACACCGAGTATTTAACCAAGCTTGTGTCTCATGTGTGTTGGGTAAGCAGAGAGCCAAATGGCACCTTCAGGCCTGACCGTATTGGTGTGTGCCTGCTGGAGGGGGGAACGCTGAACGATTCCCACATTCTCCCAGGGTTAGCAATATGTGGAAAACCCTGTGGACAAATGACCGAGGTGCTAGCAGATGCCAGGGTGGCCCTGTTCATTTGCCCCTTTGGTCCTACAAATCCGCATTCACTGGCCACGCCCCGTCTCTCCAACCCTGAAGAACTACTAAGATTTCGGAAAGAAACCGAACAAGTGGAAAAGGAAATAGCCCAACTGGCTGCTATGGACATTAACGTGGCAGTGGTATGGGGGGAAGTTAATGAGAATATGGTGGTCCAGGCTAACAATTGTGGCATCATGGTGATTCAGGCCAAGTCACGAAAGGATGTGGTCTACCTGAGTGAGACGATGGGCACTCCTCTGCTGACTCGGCTGCTTCCTCCCCTGAAGCCCGGGAAGTGCCAGAAGGTTTACAGGAAGGAGCTGCAAGGCAGTGTGGCGGTGGTGTTTGAGTGGGAATATGAGACTACACCTTCTCTCACTTTAATCCTTAGGGGGCCCACCATCCAGGGACTTCGGGGTGCAGAGCAGGCTGTCTACTATGGCATTGATGCATTTTCACAGTTGTGTCAAGATCCCAGAGTGCTACCAGGAGCTGGGGCCACAGAAATGGCTCTGGCAAAAATGTTGTCAGACAAAGGAAGCCGACTGGCAGGCCCCAACGGTCTGGCCTTCCTAGCATTTGCCCATGCCCTGAGCGCTCTGCCTAAAACCTTGGCGGAGAATGCAGGCTTAGCTGCCCAATGTGTGATGGCAGAAATGAGTGGAATTCACCAAGCTGGGAACTTCCTCACTGGAGTGGGAACAGACGGGATAATAAATGTGGCCCAGGAAGGGATATGGGACATATTGAGGACCAAAGCCCAAGGACTGCAAGCAGTCTCTGAGCTGGTGCAGCAGCTGGTGACAGTAGATGAGATCATAGTGGCCAAGAAGACTCCTGTCCACCAGCAGATTACAAGACCCACCCCGCAGGCAAAGCAGTCCTCACCCCTGAGAGAAAAATTTTTTGCAAAATATGTATAGCAACACACTAAATAAAGTAAGGATTGTCAAGATTGGGTAGTAACCTCCAAAATACTGATGTTTTCCTTATTTCTTTCTCGCACATCTGTGGCTTCTAGAGCCAGTTCGTTTTTGCTGGGTTTTTTTGTTTGTTTGTTTGTTTGTTTTTTGTTTTGGTTTTCCCAACAGGGTTTCTCTCTGTAAAAGCCCTGACTGTCCTCTGTCCTATAATTCGATTTGTAGACCAGGTTGGACTCTAACTACTAAAAGTGTGTGCCAACACGCCTACGAGAGTCAGTTTCTAACCTTTTCTTTTTTCGAGACAGGATTTCTCTGTGTACAGCTGGCTGTCCTGGAACTCACTCTGTCTCTGTAGACCAGGCTGGCCTTGAACTCACAGAGACTTGCCTGCCTCTGCCACTGCTGGGATTAAAGGCGTGCACCACTACTGCCCAGTTGTTTCTAACCTTTTAAAGGATTTATTTGTATGTGTGTGGTTGTGGGGGGGTGTTGATGTGTGGTATGAGTATTTTCATGTGTCTGCAAGAGCCACCCATAGAGGTCGGAAAAGTGTGTGAGATCCCCTGGAGCTGAAGTTACAGGCACTTTTGAGGGTCTATGTGAGTTCTGAGAATGGAACTCAGGTCCTTTGGAAGAGTAGCAAGTGCTCTGAACCACTGAGCCATTTCTCCAGCACACAAAGTTAGAGTGTAGAACAACATAAAGATGGGTATGGTGGTGCAGGTCTGTGGGAGGTGGATGCAGAAGGATGAGCGGTTCAAGGCGACGCACAGTGGATTTGAGGGCAGTTTGGGCTATATAAATAAGACCCTGTCTCAAAACACTAGGGATGGGGACTTAGCTCAGTTGGCAGCATCCTTGCCTAACATGCACAAAGCCTAAGCCCCAGCACCACACACAAACACCTGGAATTCTAGACGTGGGTTTAGAGACAGGAAGATCAAAAGTTTATTATATACTCATTAAGTGTGCAGACAGCATCAACTGTATAAGAAGAGAGGGAAAGATGGGGAGAGAAAGAGTTTTTTTTAGTAAGAGCTCCATTCCAAGTCTTGACTTTCGTATTTCCTGTTTCTCTCCATCACACCTGTTTCTGCAGTAACAGCAGATGCAAAGACACAGTTCTAACAATTTCAAATCGAGTACCTGAACTAGTTTGAGGCTAGCTTGTGCCACATGAAACCCTATCTCAAAGAGTTTCCTTTAATTAAAATATTTCAGGAATGCCTGGTGGCATAACAGTTTAATCCCAGCAGTAGAGAGGTAGAGGCAGGCAGATCTCTGTGAGTTTTAAAGTCAACCTGGTCTACATAGTAAGTTCTAAGCCATTCAGGGCTAGATGAGACCCTGTCTCAAAATAATAAAAATAGATAAATAAAAATTAAACTATTGCTATTTGTTTTTAGGTTTTTTTGTTTCAATACAAGTTTTTATTTTGTGTCCCTACTTACTATGTAGCCCAGGCTAGCCTAACCGATCCCCCTACCCCAGTCTCCTAGTACTAGGAATTACAGACCTGAGCTACTATGCCAAGGCTAGGTATTTCCTTGTCCTCCTCCTCTTTTTTTAATTTTATTTCTTTCTTATTTTTTAAATTTAAAATAGATTTTTTCATACATTTTTGTTTTGTTTTATTTTGTTTTCAAGACAGGGCTTCTCTGTGTAACAGCCCTGGCTGTCTTAGAACTAACTTTGTAGATGAGGCTGGCCTTGAGCTCTCAGATCACTGTCAGCCTCTGCCTCCAGAGTGCTGGGACTAAATATGTGCGCCACTTTTATTTAATCCAATAAAAGACATTATTTGGACCAGTGAGATGGTTCAGCAAGTGAAGATGCTTTCTGCTGGACGACATGAGTTCCAACCTTAGCACCCACAGGACGAGGGAGAGAACTGACTCCCACAAACTCTCCCTCGAGCACCATGTACTTGCTTGTGTGCCATAGCAAGTACACATACACACAATAATTATTTAAAAAACAAAAGTCAGGGCGAGAAAGATGGCTCAGTGGTTAAGAGCACTAGCTATTCTTCCAGAGGACCCAGATTCTATTCCTAGCACCCACATGGCAGCACATGCCTGCCTGTAATTCCAATTCCAGGGGCTCTGACACCCTCAAACAGACATAGCAGGCATAACACCAGTGCACATAAAAATGAGTAAAAACTTTTTTAAAAAAAAAAAGGTTTGCTAGTCAGTGGTGGTGCACACTTTTAATCCCAGCACTTGGGAGGCAGAAGCAGACGGATTTCTGTGAGTTTGAGGTCTACAATGAGAGGTCTAGCTATGATTAGTTTGTAACAATATAAAGATAGATAGCTCCTCAATTTAGTTATAATTCTAAGACTCCTATGAATGGGATTACAGGTATATAGTACCACATAAGGCCATAAATCTTCTGGCATCCAGAGTTGGCAAAATCAAAAGAACACAAATTTCCGCAAAGGGAAGGCGATGTCCAGCAAAGGTGGTGGCGAGTCAGACAGCTATAGACAGAGTTCAAAGAAGAGCGTCTGAACGGAGAGCAGCGTGCAAGAAAGGCTTGTTCTAAGATCTAGCCCTCCCTTTACTCCCCATGTCCACTTAAGGCTCTTGGAATGGACCCCAGATCCTTGTGCATGCTGGGCAAATGCGTAGCTTTCTACATCCTGGCAATGCCCCTGTGTATCTCAGATTCTTTTAGCCTGGGCTGATGGCCATCTCCATCTGGCTGCTTGCCCCTTGGGCTCTCTATACTTCATGCTTGATCTGAGAACCAGCAGTGTGATCATCTGTTACCATCGAGGACTGATCTGTCCCCATTGTCAGGCTATGGGACTGATGGGCAGCTTACAGCTTGAGAAGCAAGAACTGACCTGGGCAGCAATGTCGTATCCCTGTGTCTGTACCATCCTAGAGCCACAGTAGCAAGGATGCCTAGTAATAGTGTCTGCATCAATGCCCAACATAGGACTCAGATTGTCTTCTACTTGCAATGGAGAAGTGGACCAGAACTTCACCTCAGTTTGGCAGATCCCCATCTGCTTCTGGAGGTATAGAACGGAGGTCTCCTTGCCAGACCTCGGTTCGCAGGCCTTGGCTTCTGGTTGGCTCCACTGTCCTCCTCTGGCATTCACTCCTCTTCCATCCCAGAAGTGGCAATGCCTGGGCTTATCCACATTACCCTGGACCTGCCTCTTCCCCAGGTCCTTCCCTGTGTCATGCTCATGGCTGCACTCTGTGAGTTGGTGTCCTTAGCCAAAAGCAGATGAGAAGATGCAAAAAAAACAAAAAAACAAAAACAAAAACAAAACAAGGCTGGGCGGTGGTGGCGCAGGCCTTTAATCCCAGCACTTGGGAGGCAGAGGCAGGTGGATCTCTGTGAGTTCAAGGCCAGTCTGGTCTACAAGAGCTAATTCCAGGACAGGCTCCAAAGCCAGAGGGAGGCCCTGTCTCAAAAAAAAAAAAAAAAAAAGAAAAGAAAAGAAAAAAAGAAAGAAAGAAAGAGAGAGAGAAAGAAAAAACAAGGATGAAAATTAGGAGAAAAGGAGGGAGACAGGAGGCTGACCTGGGGGTGGCAGCCCAGTTTGGTAGCGGAATGTGTTGTCTCCAAACCTCTCTCCACAGAATCCTTGCAGGCATGAAGAAAAACGTCATGCATTCTAAACTGGGGGGCGGGCGGGGAGGGCGGCGGGAGATAGGGGGTGGAGAGAGGATGAAAACAGCACAATCTAACATGGAAGAGGCAGAGGCTAACCTGTCCCTTCCCCGATAGCTAAGAGCCTTCCCAAGAGTCCCTCCTTACCACAGAAGGGTTCTTCTCCAGCATCCTTTGCCTATCCTCACAGGCTAAACACTCTTGGAGTATAGGTCAAGGGATTGAGAAAGAATTCAAAAGAACAGGGCTGCAGAAAGCAAATAACTCAGTTGTTAAGAATTCTTGCCTATGGGGCTGGAGAGATGGCTCAGGGGTTAAGAACACTGCCTACTCTTCCAGAGATCCCAGGTTCAATTCCCAGCACCCACATGGCAGCTTATAACTGTCTATAACTCCTGTTCCAGGGGATCTGACACCTTCACACAGACATACATGCAGGTAAAATAACAATGTACCAAAAAACCCAAATAAATTATTTAAAAAAATAAAAAAGAACACTTGCCTAATGCTGGACATGCTCTCTGTGGATTTGTGAATTCCAGCTTGATATACATAGCAAGTTCCAGGCCTCAAAAATATCTATCTAGTAGATAGATATCTAGATAGACAGAAGACAGACAGATATTTAGATGAGATTAAATAAGCAAATCATGGGAGTAATCAACCACTTTCTGGTTGGATTTAAGTCCAGTTCCACAAGATGAAACACATTTGGCACTGTTATGTGGACAAGTTCTAGGTCCTACGGTAGAAGCTACTGCTATCCTGCCATCCTGATATAGTTTAAAACCAATTCCTGATGAATCGTCGTCACACTCATAGATCAATGAATCTCTCAGTCCTTTTCAGTCCTCCTTTGAAAAGCAGATGGTAATGAACACAGTGACCTACAACCGGCCAAGCTACAGAAAATAAGAGACTGCAAAGCAGTCAGCCCTAAAAGGAACATATATATATGTAGAACGAGCGTGAGAGCCAGAGATACTTCAGCCACTGCAGAGACCAGGCTGAGGCAATTAGGGTGGGCAGGCCAGTGTCTGTAACCTCCACAGAGTAGCGACTGTCTAAGCTGCCTGGAGAGATGGGGAAGAGGGGAGCAGACTCACCCCAACACAAGTGTTTTCTGAACACACTAGGACAGCTGCCCACAGGAACTCACCACAGTGGCTGTAACAGCTTGCACAAGATCTGTGGAAGCCCAGGCTAGACCAAATTCTAGCATCCGTAGGTGAGATGGGCACAAAACCCCACCCCTAGCTGAAGAGGTGCTGGTAACTGTTAGCTTGTGGGACAGGGAGTGATGGTTTTCTCTAAGAGTACAACTCCTGATAAGCTGACCACTCTGAAGTGGAAAACCACACAGACAAGATTATTGGGGCAGCATAAAATGATCTTG